TTATAAAGAATCAAGATATCTTGAAATGGAAGAGAAACCAAAAGTTAACATTTTCTCAATGTGGCACAAAATTACACAATCTCCTAGAGAGAAGTAGAGCAGCAATTCCAGTTCAACCATAGTATGGGAAAGTGAGTTACATCAAATATTCTTTCATTGTTTCTAAGGTAAATTATTATATTCCACCAAACAAAATGAATAAAAATTGAAATACCTAAACATTAAGCAGTCTCGACAGGCAAGCAACGCTGGAGACCAATTTGACTACATTAATACTGAAACTGAGTCATATGTACAAATAAGTATCAATAAAAATTTGGGTGTTCCAACATTATATGATATAGCTACACACTGTTACGATTTTCTCATTTGCTGTAATTTAGTGCACCTTGCAGTCAGGTAATATATGTAGATAAACCTTGCTTGACAGCTACCCTGTTTAGCATCTGTTTGAAGTGATGACAGTGCTGAAAAAATAACTTTATGACTCAGTCCACACAGTCACATGATTGACATTTGGCAGCTTCACAGCAATCTTTTGACAAACAATTAATGAAGAAGCTGCCAATAAAATTGCAGGTCATAGTCACATGATGTCTTGCTTAACCACTTCAACTCACTTAGTGATTGCAGCAGAAGTGATGTTTTAAGTTTGTCATGTTTTGCTTATCAATCATACCATTTAGCAAGAGATTTGCCAGTCCTGATTGTGATTGTTAAGTGAGAACTACTTATAGGACACTGTTTTCTCAGATAGCATATAATATATGGAATGACCCTTAAACTTCAAAGTTGAAAGTTAACAATAGTTTCAATAAGTATTTTTGATAGGTGGAGGTTTCATTCTATGCAAGAACACTAAAGACAGGCAACATTTCAACTTTTCCACCATAAGAAACAAATATTTAAAACAAATACATTGATTATGACTTCCTGTTCCCACTGTACAATAAAGCTTAAACTCTGGAGTCCTTGGTGCTCTTTAGGTTTGTTTGCTTGCAGACATTTCATTATCCAACTACGTAACATCATCAGTGCTAGTGTGAATGTACAGTTTGTTCCTTGTTTATATACAATAGCTTGCCCTGCCAGTATTGGTGTGGGTGCGTTTTTCTCCTTCGTAGTTCCTTGGTTAGGGCATTATTTTCTGCTTGATTATTTTCCTGATATTAAATCCCTGCTTATCTGGGTTTTGGTTGCTGGAGAGGATATGTTCTGTTTGTTTTGTTTCCTTTTTAGTTTTGTATTGTTTCTTTTGAGTGATATGTAAATGTGGTTTATCTCTGTGTGTCTTTTTTGGCTCATTCATCTGAATGCCAAGCTTCTAGGAATTCCCTGGTGTTTTTGAATTTAGCTTTGTCTAGGATTTGGATTTAGCTTGGATGAGCAACCAACACCCAGATAAGCAGGGATTAACACCAGACAATCAAGCAGAAAATAATATGCAATTCAAGGAACTACCAAAGAAAAAACTGTACCCCCAATACTACAGGCAGGCAAGCTATTTTATATTAACAGAGAGCAACCCCAGACTCATTAGCACTCATGATTTTACCTAGTCAGGTAATGAAACATCTGTTAGTAAAGAACCAAGCTCAGAGAGCACGGAGCCTTCCTCAGTTCATCCCTGAGCTAGTGATATTCTCTTCTATTAAAGCTTAAACCGGAATGTTGAGATGTCTCAAACAAAGGCTTTTACTATACAGACACAAGTAATAATGTGATCACACATCACCGTAAACAGGAGTTTGTTTAAGAACGAATAAACCAAAATTAGATGAGGTGGCATAGCATGCTCATTTACAAGCATTAGGTGCTCTCATATAAGACAAGATTCATAGAATCAAAGACTGGACCACTGGGCCAACTTGCTGCTCAAAGCAGCAAGCAAAGTGACAGGCATGCCTGTCATAAGAAATGTATTTTGTTTTGAATCCCAAACAAAGAAGAGTAGCAGAAGTGGCTAAAAGGAGATAGGCCAGGGAAGACATTGGAAAGGGGGGGGGAGGAGCTAGCTGGTTAAATTGGATATGCATACTTGAATTCAGTGGTGGCAGCAATAGCACACAGATGAGCACACAAATCCTTCCTTTTTTCTGTGTCTGCTTAACCACCACCATTGCCACTGACCTTGACTTTTTCCTGTTTTCACTCCCCTGAAAATGTCTTTCTGGAATACATGTGTTTTGGGTCCATGCTCAGACCAAAGGCACTTATTTCAGGTCTGTGCCCAAAGCACTAATATTGTGATCCATACATAGACCACCCCAAACCAGCCCTTCCATGCCCAGAACATTTTGTATATGCATACAAATTAAGCTATACCAGATAGATTATTGTGCAGGCCTCATCTGGACACATACTATGAAACTAAGTCTAACCATTTATTTGGGAAATTATTTCCACTAGTAAATTGTTAAAAAAACTAACAACCTTTAAAAAAAAACCTCCCAAACATTCAATTGGAATTTGGTATTTGGTACCTGAAATCCATTATTATGAGTCCTTCATTCTAGAAGGAAAGTAAACACACTTTGACTTTTTCCCCCTATGTGATGTCCTTTCGTATATTTGAAGAATGCTCTCATATCTATCTCTTCAATCTTTTACAATCTTTTTACTAGCCTAAATGCCACCCAGCTCCTTCAAGACATGATCTCCCAGTGAGCCACGCTGTCTTTCATTGAACCTGTTCCAATTTCTCTGACTCCTTTTTGAAGTATGGTGTCCAAAAGTGGATACAATACTAGATATGAAATGTGATCAAGCTAGAATCAAGTGAAGCACTTACTAGAAAATAATACTTTTGTTGTTACAGCCTAAAACTGCATTTTTCTTTTTTGCAACCAAATCATATTGCTCACTTCTACTTTATTCTCTTTGCAATTAACCCTTTCAAAAAAATCACTACCAAGTCATATATCCCCACCTCCTGTACTTGTGTATTTGATCTTTGTTTCCCGGTGTTTCCCCCGCACTTGTGCCTGTTAAATTCCACTGAGTTTTAGCTCAGTCTTTTAGGATAATAGCTAATCCAGCTAACTGTATGCCATCTGCCAATCAGACAAACTTTCTAGTCATCTTTCATCCAAATCATTAATAAACATGACAGGCTGAGGATCTAGGACAGTTTCTTGTAGCACTTCACTTAATATCAGTTTGATGAGGAATCATTGACATCTGCAATGGCAAAACCACTTCTGAAAACTGCAGGGACTAATTCAGGTATTCACCAGGAGTTAACAATGATTTGATGTGTATGTCAGGGGTGTCAAACTGCCGGCCCATGGGCCGGTTTCATCATACAGGAGCCACGCCCACCCCATTGCCGGCAATGGCAAAAAAGCTCCGGTACGTCGCGTGATGTCACATGACATCACTAGTTTAACATGCCCGATGTATGTGTACATTTAATAGTCATTTCATTGTTATGTCATCCACCCCACAGTTAGGTAGCTTATCAATTTATATGTCATGGGATTCTTCAAGCAGTCAGAATATACCCACAATTTATTAAGTTATTTGACCAAAGAAATGAGACAAAGCTACCCTATCAGGATTTGTTTTTGATAAATCTATATTGAGTTTTGGTAACAACTGTAAAATATCCAGAGTGCTAAATACAGATCTTTTTGTGATTATTTTAGAATCTTCCCAGACATTGATGTTTCACCAATCTGTAGTTTGCTCCATCTTCCTTTCCTCTCTTTCTCCTCCTCCACCAGTTATCTAGGGTACATGAATGAAACTGAAGAAGTCTTTATCATTCTTAGTTTCCCTTGCATTTGTCAGCTTATTCTGATCATTTGTTTGCTTGATGCCAGCTCTACAGTTTCAATCTACTGTCCATGCTCTTCCTTTCTGACCTGTCCTCTTTTCATTTTTAGATCTTCACAAAGCTTGTTGGTAGCCCCACTGGCTTGTGCTGCCTCCATTTTTCTCTCCTGAAATTAAATATTTGTAAGTGTGTTTTTCATATATCCTTTAAGAACTCTCCCATCTTGAGCTCCTTTCACCCTTAGCTTCTCCTACCAACAGAGAACTCTTAACTGTTCAGATTTTATTAAAATCTGATTAATTTTAAGCCCAAGATGCACACCTGATTATTTATTTTGCCTAATGCTTTGTGTGAACCTATATGTAGTTTGGAAACCCGGCTTTCTATCTTAGCAAGTCACAACATAGTCACAACTTAGCATAATGTATTAAGAAGTTTTTAAAGTCTGTCTCATCAAGGTTGTGTTCCCAAGACATGCTTTTCCAATCATTTACTCAGGAAGGCTAGCTTTCTGGATTTGGCTGAGATATTGAACCATAATCCAATCATATTAGGCATAAAATATGTTGGGGTACAATATGGTTGGCTTATTTCTGGTTTTTGTACCTCCTGAACAGAGTTTTAAAAAAAAGTATTTCCAGAAAAATAGCAGCGTCTCACTGACCCAGCCAGGAGGAAAGTAACTTCTTGCAATCCTGAGGTGACATCCTAGACCTAGAGAAACCTTCTGGGAAAGAAACGGCGTTGCGCGGCCAAAATGAAGACGTCCTTCCTCCTAGTGGGCTCCTCTTCCTCCCACCTCCCTCGTGACAAGAAAGCCTCAGGATCCCTTCGGGCTCCCACCTCAGCCGAACGGATCGGCCCCCCTCTCCAGTTCGCGCCTTAAGGGAGCCCAACGCGGCGAGCGAGCGACCGAGCAAGCAGAGCAGCTAGAACCGCCACTTCGCTGCTCCTGCCCAGACCGGCCCAACGCCCGCAGGGGACGGCTGGAACCTTCCCACCGCGCCGCTCCTTGGCTCCATAGGCGGCGGCAGGGAGGCAGACAGGCAAGCAGGCAGCCCGGAGCCCGCTCCCAGCTCCGCGCCGCGCCGCGCCGCCTGCCTCTTTGTCCAGGACGCGTTGGAGCGACCCTCCTTCTCCTGGTTCGAGCCTGCACGCGGACTGAAAACACCCCATGCCCCGTTACTACGAAGCGACCCCCCGGGAATCAGGAAAGGCTCACCCCAGGCCAGAAGCAGCCGCAGCGCCCGACGCCTCACAGGATTCATGATGCTTCCACTCCGGCGCCGCCGTGCTCCTCTCCTCCTCCTCCTTCAGAGGGACGTAGCTTCTGCTGCAGCAGCTGCCCACGGGGCTCGGCCCCTTCTTGTTACTGAAGAGCCCCCTCTCTCCTGCCGTTGCAGCAGCTCGGGCTCACACGGCATCGCCCCCGCGACCCCCCTCCCTGGTGACTCGCAACTTTCCCTGCAAAGCTCTCTAGGTCCTCCCTCCCTCCTTCCCTCCCTTCTAGGGGAGCTTCAAGCTGGAGGCTGTGGGCGTGGGTGAAGAAAAAGAAGAAACAAAAATCGGAGGGCTTCTACGTTGCCCGATCAATACACGAACGGCTCTGGTCCAAGGCCAGCAAGCAAATGCAGCGGCGGCAGCATCCACACAGCAAATGCATACAGCCTGCTTGGCTGGGCTGGCCGATCAAACCCTTGGCAAAGCCGTCGCGCGCATCTCTCTTTCTCAGTTTAAAAAAAAGAGAGAGGGAGAGAGAGAGAGAGAGAGATGCGAGAAGCGAAGAAATCAATAAGGATGGAGGCAGGAAGGCAGGGCTCTGCGCGGGCAGCTGCAGCGGCTTGGCTTTGCTCCTGGAAGCGACTCAAAGCGTTGCCTCTCCACGCCCCCTCTTGGATCGGTGTGGCCGCTGCTGTGGGTCTCCCAGGTTTCCAAGATGCTGAAGTATGAAATCGTGTGCATTGCGCAGTGGGCTGCATTCTGCCCCTTCCCGGCTTCAGTTTTCACCCGGGTCCTAAAGGGAGAGGGTGCCGCCGATTCCGTTTATTCATTGGGCAACTTACGGGGACAAACGACGCAAGACCTGAAACTTGGTCTTTGCCTGAGCAGAACCCACGAAGGCCGAGATCTAGCGGTGCCGGCCGGAGAAGCACTACTTTCCCTGGCCGGATAGGACTAATTTTCCATTGAGGGGATTCTCAGAAGTATGTCGTTCTTTAATCTGCAGCTGGGGAAACTCTTCCGAATATTTGTCTAAAAAATACAAAACTGTCTGGGTTTCGCTGCAGACCCAGCAAGGGGTTTACTCTGAACCCATTTCAAGGAGTTTACCATAATCTTATTTTTTTTAAGAATGCAATATTCTGCATTGAAAATAAAAGTTGAAAACGCATCAATTCATTCAGATCACAATGACAACTGGTTTGTTCTTTGCCGCCAACCCCTGAAAAAAGGCCATTGAACAAAAAGTTCCAAAATTAAGGTTACATATAGCATAAGAAATTTGATGTGCACAACTTAAAATCTCATAAAGGTTCAGATTACAAAGAAAGCTTGCAGAATATTGGTCTTAAATATGTACAGAACAAACGCTGAATACAGAGTCCCTGTTAAAACATAGGTTTCTTTAGCACTAAAACTGGTTCTTGGGTGTTCACATCTTTTCACTTGAAAATCCAATAAAATCCAACCTGTTAAAAGTTGCTGGTTTCTAATCATTTTTATCTTGCTCCAGTAAATTCTCCCCAAGGCATTTGCTTCTGTTATGCTTCTTGCCTCCAAAATAATTCAGTCTCCTAAACCCACTGAAGAGAGAAGACCTGGAATGATCTTTTTGTACGTAACCCAGAGCCATACCATTTTCAGAGTTCATGTGGCTTGACCAACACAGTTTTGCAGCTTGTATTTTGCAAATGTCTGGCATGGAGGCGAGAGATTGTACAGTTAAGTGTCAGAACGTGAGGCCTACTAGTCCTCGATTTATAAGCACAATTGAGCCCAAAGTTTCTGGTGTTAAACGAGACATTTGTTAAGTGAGTTTTGCCCCATTTTACAACCTTTCTTGCCACAGTTGTTAAGTGAACCACTGCAATTGATAAGTTAGCAATCTGGCTGTTAAGTGGATCTGGCTTCTCCACTGACCTTGCTTGTCAGAAGGTTGTAAAAAGTGATCACGTGACCTCCCTGGGACGTAGCAACAGTGATAAATATGAACCAGTTGCCAAGCATCTGAATTTTGATCACATGATCACAGGGATGCTGCAAAGGTTGTAACTGTAACAATGGTCATAAGTCGCATTTTTCAATGCCATTGTAACTTTGAATGGTCACTAAATGAACTGTTGTAAGTCGAGGACTACCTGTATTCACAAAGATATTTTGAAGGAAGAGGAATTAAAGTAAGCAGAAGAACATAATAAAGCAGGGAAATGTCAGCAAAGTAGTTGAAGTCTTTGGAGACATATCAGCGAATTAAATTAAACTTTGACCACCAATAGGAGTTTTTTTACATTAAAATAATTCCACCTAGGTCTTGGGTGTATTAAAATCACATTATCACTTAACATTTGTGTGAATTGTTCTATGAATTAATTCATAATTTCAAAATAATCATGTGATACAACCTGTCATAGACATGCCTTTTCAGATAGTTGAATATTTTGCATTAAAAAAAATAACGTCTGGATTAGATCTAGCAGTGGCTTTACATTAATGGAAAGCACTTTCATTTATACAAGATCATAGAATTCCAGATGAGGGAAAAGACTGATCATCTTTACCCATTGCTATCCTCCATGCCTTCCCCCTTATTGTTCCTTGCTTGCTGATCTCCAGATATGCTAATATTACCACTCCCCCAAATCTCTGAAGGATGGCTTTTAGCCAAAGTCTCCCTTTTTTCCACAAAATTATCCATAGGTACTTGGGCTATATCAGGGGCATCCAGGGAGATAGCAAGTAATAATAAAAACAGTGGTAGTCTCTGTGCAATGAAAGCTACCATCTTGTTTCTTTCAGCACCATCCCACCCTAGACACCAATGGGCTGAACAGTGCTTTATGTTTGAAAGGGGAAAGACAATCTGAAGCTCAGATAGCACTGTTGGCATTTTTTCCTACGCTCATGTGCAACTGCATGCAAAGTCTTATTTGATATCAGGATATCAAATAACAGAAACTGTACATCAATGATATACAGTTATCTAGTTACCAGTTATCCAGGTAAAGTTGTCTAAAGTTTGAGTCGTGGCAACCGGACCTATTTTTTTTTTAAATATTTTATTAATTTTCTAATTTTACAATTAAGTATTTAAAAAGCAACGTGGTGGTTGGTCAATCAATAGTTCAATAACATACATAAATCTTTAGTACAAATCTCAAGTTACAACATCAAATATTTCCTTATTTTTCTTCTTAGTTTGAGACATTTCGCTGCTTATCCAAGAGCTTCTTCGCCAGTCAGAGCAAGTATTGTAATGTATTTTGGGGAAGAAACCTCTGAGGTTGGTGAAGGAGGTGTTGGTACATTTCAGCTTGCTTTGTGTAATCAACTAACAAAATGAAATTCAATGGTGAAAAAAGTAAGGTTCTACATTTAGGCAAGAAAAACCGAATGTACAGGTATAGTATAGGGGGTACCTTGCTCAATAGTAGTAACTGTGAGAGGGACCTCGGAGTCCTAGTGGACAATCATTTAAATATGAGCCAGCAGTGTGCTGCAGCTGCCAAAAAAGCCAACACAGTGCTAGGCTGCATTAACAGAGAGATAGAATCAAGATCACGTGAAGTATTAATACCACTTTACAATGCCTTGGTAAGGCCACACTTGGAATACTGCATCCAGTTTTGGTCACCACGATGTAAAAAAGATGTTGAGACTCTAGAAAGAGTACAGAGAAGAGCAACAAAGATGATTAAGGGAATGGAGGCCAAAGCATATAGGGAAAGGCTGCTGGAATTGGGTATGTCTAGTTTAATGAAGAGAAGGACAAGGGGGAACATGATAGCAGTATTCCAATATCTTAGGGCTGCCACAAAGAAGAGGGAGTCAAGCTATTTTCCAAGGTGCCTGAAGGCAGGACAAGAAGCAATGGATGGAAACTAATCAAGGAGAGAAGCAACCTAGCACTAAGGAGAAACTTCCTGACAGTTAGAACAATTAACCAGTGGAACAACCTGCCTCCAGACGTGGTGAATGCTCCAACACTGGAAGTTTTTAAGAAGAGACTGGACAGCCATTTGTCTGAAATGGTATAGGGTTTCCTTCCTGAGCAGGGGGCTGGATTAGATGACCTCCAAGGTCCCTTCCAACTTTATTATTATTATTATTATTATTATTATTATTATTATTATTATTATTATTACTACTACTACTACTACTACTACTACTACTACTACTACTATAACTTCATCTCCTATGTGTCTTAACAGTTTCTTCTCTTCAATCGTCTTAATCTGGAGCCCTTGGGTTGTGTAGTTGTCCCTCTTAACTTCTAAATCATCATTTTTCCTTTCCCATCTGTTTTCATCCTAACCTAACCTAAACTGGCATGCTGTCATTTTGATTTTGCAGTCCAGTTTTCCCCTTTTATAGATTCTAGTGCCCTCCAGATGTTTTGTGTTATAGCTTCTATCAGTTCCATCCTAGTATCTCTTAGGCTAGAATACTGTATCCAGAGGTCATTAAATTGCTATTCTAAACAGTTTGTGAGGCCTTTGCCCTAGAGAGATTGTAAAATTGATTGTTCTCTATTGATAGTCCATCTAGAATTGCTCCTACTGACTGAGACTTCTGGTATTTGTGGTTCAGCAATACTTGCAGAGCCCCCAGTTTCCCCATCTTTGCCCCACAGCCTATTCCTTTATATTTCTACATGAATACTACTGACTGCAGAAGCAGATATCAATTGCATGCAGGGCAATGCTGACCTTGTGTGGTATAGCAGCTCCTTTGAGCCTCAGCCAAAATGCTTTCTATCAGCTTCTTCTCATTCAAGGCTCTCCAAATGGCTGAACAAAAGAAGGATGAATCTAATGAACGTATTAATGATAGCTGGGGCCAGCTGCATTGGCAGGGAAAAGAATTCTCAATGGGTATCCTCAAATTATTCAAATGAGAAAAAGCTATAAAGGAGAGGATGTGTATGTTTGGAGATACGTGCTTTCCTAAGAAGTGTATAGTAAACAGGAATAGGAATACAGGAAGCTTTCTTAAATTAAGTAGGAACTATTTCAGCATAATTTGTATTGACAGATAATTTCTATAGGATATAGGTGGCATAAATGGATAGGTGGGAATGAAGCAAGAGAGTAAAAGTAACTGGTCCATCATGAATTCCAACAATAAATGAAAACGGTGACCGTCTGGTAGGTTTAGCCCCACTTTTCTTTATCTTACAATAAGCTTAACATTACCTATAAGGATGCTAAATTTTGTATCACAGCTATTAAAGCATGCATACGATTTGCCACAGGACAAGGTTGGGATAACAAAGAACAGCTATTAAACCCAGAGTGAGTTATGTCATAAGCCAGAATTTTACATATAAATTTAAATGCTGTATACTACTATTGTGTCTGCTGTCCAATTCTCTCTGCTGTTCATTGTTTGAATAACTAATTTTATTCACTTACTTCAGATATGTGATTTAAACATAGTTCTATTCATGAAATATATAACATGAAAAAGTACATCTATAAGCAAGGCTGATTTAATTGTTCATTATTAAAGCCTGAGAGAATTAGTAACAAATACAAAGGGAGTGAGAAGTATGGCAAGTGGAACAGACAATTTCTTGGTAGTGCTCATGTATAACTTGGAATAAAATGGACAGGGAAGAAAAAGAAGAATGGAAGCAAAAATGAAAGCATCAGTTTGCAAATGCCAGCAGAGTACTCTGTCTGCTGGGCCTCCTTGCTGCTCACAAGCCTACAAA